ACCGAATCCCCAGCGAATCCTGATGGAATCCTAAGGAATCCTTGCGCAGACCGCACGCCGTTCCCGTCCGGGTTCGCGCTTGCGCGCCTCAGGATCCCTGAAGTGTATAAGCGCCTAGGAATGCTAAGGGAATCCCAAGGGAATCCTGAAGGAATGCTAGCGAATCCAAAGGGAATCCTAAGGAAACCTAACGAATCCGAAGGAATCCTAAAGAATCCAAAAGAATCCTACCGAATCCCCAGCGAATCCTAATGGAATCCTAAGGAATCCTTGCGCAGACCGCACGCCGTTCCCGTCCGGGTTCGCGCTTGCGCGCCTCAGGAATCCCTGAAGTATATAAGCGCGGAGGAATCCTGAGGGAGTCCTAAGGGAATCCTGCAGGAACGCTAGCGAATCCAAAGGGAATCCTAAGGAAACCTAGCGAATCCGAAAGGATCCTAAGGAATCCTACGGAATCCCACCGAATCCTCAGCGAATCCTAAGGAACCCGCCTGCCCTTGGGGCCCGAGGGCTCCCTGGGCGTGCATGCCGAATGCAAGCGCCCAGGGACGAGCATTGATCCGCGCGGCCGAATTGAGTACGTTATCATTTGCAGAATCCCCGTCATGATTATCACCATCATCATCATAGTCATCATCAGAATCATCATAAACATCACCATCATCATTACGATCATCACCAATATCATCTTCATCATCGTCGTCATCATCATCACCACCATCATCGTCATGAATCGTGATCATCACCAGCATCATCACAGTCATCACCAGCATCACCATCACCATCATAATCATCAACATCGCCACCATCATCATCATCATCGTCATCATCGTCGTAATCAACATCATCATCGTCAGACATCAGCATCATCATCGTCATCATCGTCATCACCATCAGAATCCGCATCATCGTCATCATACTAATCGTCACCATCACCACCGTCATCATCGTCATCATCGTCATTATCATCACCATCATCATCATCATCATCATTATCATCACCTTCTTCAACATCATCATCATGATGTAAGCTCCCAATGCAACCTCAGCAGACATCTACTGAGCAACCCAAATGCAAGCAACGCCAAATAATGCAAAGCAACCCAATGCAAAGCAATGCAATATCTTCGGAATCGAACACGGCGGGCCCGGACGGAGACGGCGTTCGCTTCCATCATGCTCGATTGTATGGACGGGGGGCAATTTAAAACCGGAAACCGAGTGTCGAACTCTTAATGTAAATTTATGTTCTGGGATCCAACATCGGCCACATAAACCTCTGAAACATATACTTCAGTGCCAAAGAAAGAGAAAGACAGCGACACATCTTCAGAACAGCGGTTCACTACTACACGGCCCGGACGGGCGCGGCGTTACCTACTACTACTACTACTAATAATAATAATACGACTACTACTACCACTACTACTACTACTACTACTACTACTACTACGACTACTACTACTACTACTACTACTACTACTACTACTGCTACTACTACTACTACTACTACTACTACTACTACGGCGACGACTACTACGACTACTACTACTACTACTACTACTACTACGACTACTACTACTACTACTAGTACTACTACTACTACTACTACTACTACTACTACTACTACTACTACTACTACTACTACTACTACTACTACTACCAACGGGAACTGTTTTAGACGAGTATGTGCGGCGCCAAGGCGATAACCACATTATGGAAACAACCCGCTCTGCATCCGTGCAACTGGTGGGCGCGTCTTATGCGAGTGCGCGCGGCACCAAGACAAGAACCCCACTTTGAAAACCACCTTCCCCCCTTCCATGTGACTGTTGGATGCGATTAGTTTCAAATCGTTAAACGGTGGGGAATTCTCGGGCGAAACGCGCGGCCCGCCCTAACGATAGGGAGGAGGTACTGCAGGAAGAGGGATTGAGGTGAGAGCTGGCACCTCCAGAGGCCGCGTGGGCCCTCCCCAGACCTGCCTGGCCACCACGCAGTCCTCCTCCTCCTCCTCCTCCTCATCGTCCTTCTCCTTGTCCTTTTCCTCCCTCCATCCTTCACCCACTCCTTCCTCTTGCCTCTTCCTCCTCTTCCTCCTCCTCCTTCTTCTCCTCATTCTCCTCCTCCACGTCCTCCTCCACATCCTCCTCCTCATCCTCCTCCTGCTGCTCCTCCTCCTCCTCCTCATTCTCCTCCGCCTCCTCCTCCTCCGTATCCTCCTCCTGCTGCTCCTCCTCCTCCTTTTCCTGCTCCTCCTCATCCTCCCTCCCATTCCTCCCTCTCCTACTACACTCTGCTTCTCTTCCTGCTCCTCCTCAGCCTCCTCTGTCACAGCCTTATCATCCCACCCTCGCCTCCTCCTCCTCCCTCCTCCCTCCTCCCTCCTCCTCCTCAAGGCAAGAGGAGAAGGAGGAGGAGGAGGATAAGGATGAGGAGGAGGAGGAGGAGGAGGAGGGTGTGCAGCAGAAGACCGTGCGGCACTCGGCGCTAGTCACGCTCAGTAGGCGACAGCCTTCGACTGGGCCAGATAGTCCGACCACTCCTGGAACGGGGATTTGATGAAGTGCGTCGGCTTCCAGAGGTCTGGCGTGAGGTAGCCGAAGGTCGCCCTGAGGGCGTCGAACGTAGCCTTGATGAAATTGCCCTTGGTCCTGGTGTGCCCGCAGGAGCAGCTGAAACAGTCCTGAATACCGCAGAACGCGAGCATCTTCTTCATCACGGGGGAGCCCACGACGCTCGAGCCGCGAGGCGCTGGAACAAGCCGGACGCGCACCGAGCCGCACTTGCCAGCGACCTTCATCGGCACCGTGTGCGGCAGGCCGATCTTGTTCCCCCAGTACCCCCGCCGCACGGGGATGAGGCTCAGCTTGGCTGCGATGATGCCGCCGCGGATGGCCGTGGCCACCTCTTTAGAGCACTTCGACCCCAGGCCGATATGACCGTTGTTGTCGCCGACAAGGACGTAGCACACGAAGCGGTTTGTCTGACCAGCCGAACTCATCTTCTGAACTGGATGGATCTTCATCACCTCGTCCTTGAGAGTGCCTGGCTGGAAGAACTGGTCAATGATCTGATACTCCTTGATTGGCAGAGAGTGCAAGTAGATGTCCTCGATGGAAGTGATCTTACCCTCCTTAACTAGGCGCCCGATCTTGGTGCACGGCACCCACTCCTTCTCTTCGGCTCCCTTCTTGCCGCCCTTCTTACCCTTCTTACCCTTCTTGCCCTTACCGTCAGGCTTTCCCTTTCCGAAGCCTCCCTCGCCCATCGCTGTTACACGCCAATGCCCGCCGCAACCAAGAAAATTGGCTTGAGCCAAGCGGCTGCATTGTGCTGGGAAGGTGATAAGCATTAGGAAGCAACTCCTGCGAGGTCTTGGTGGTCAGAACAATGAAAGGCTACTGAGCCCGATCGAAAGAGCCACTTTGCCCGACCAGCCTGGCCTAAGCCGAGTAGACCGACCTCAGCGGAATTTGGCCTGCGGGATTATGCAGGACTAGCCCTGGGGTCGACAACGGAGATACCAGCGCTGATGCTGAGTTGCATCTCCCGCGAGGTACATCCTGGTCAGGAGGATCAGCGGCCCGCCGGGAGTGGGGGGGAGAGGGGGTGGTCCTCCTCCGAAGGCTCAGAGGCCCCTCGGCCGTTTCAGAAGTACGCTAAGCCTTCCCCAGAGGCACGGAAAACTTGTCGGAAAGCCAGAGGGCTGCCGAGAAGCCCCGCCGCCTTCTGAGAAGACCTTTTCCTTCTCACTTCCCCCCCTCGCTCGCCGCCGCGAGGAGGCAGATGCGCAAGCCTTTTCCAGACAAGGCAGCTGGAGCCAAAGTGCGCCACCGTGCCAGAGGAACAAGACGAGAGGAGGAGGGATGGGGAGGAGTGACAGCTGCCGAAAGGAAGACGAGGAGAGGGACGACGACGAGCGAAGCACGAGGACGAGGGTGGCCACGAGGAAGGGGACGACAACGGGCGAAGGAAGAGGACGAGAGGAAGACGAGTAGGGGGACGACGACGAGCGAAGGACGAGAGGATGGGGACAGCGAGGACATGGAGGGGAACAACGACGACCGAAGACGACCGAGCCTTCTCCACGCAGTCTGGTCTGCCCCTGATCTCGACGATGAAATGCGGGGCACCCTCTCCCGCGTCCTTGACCTGAGGGATAGGGTAATGAGAGTGACGGACGGATGAGGACAGCAAGGTCTGGCACATGAAAGCCCTGCGACGAGTCGAACGACTCTCATGTTCATGCTTCCCGCGCTGCCAACCTACCCAAAGCCGCTTCTTGAAAACCCTGATGGTCGGACGCCCCGGAAGCTGACGTGACCTGACGTTTTTTGTGCCATGGGCCACCGAGGGTCTCCACTCGAGCGTGGAGGTGGGCAAGGTGAGTCCGAAACGCCAGACGAATTCAGCATGTTCTTGGAGGCCATCCGTGAACAACAGGCTACTGAATGGGACAGACGGAACTTCGACTTCTCGCATGGCTCTTGTTTCCCAAATAAGCTTTGCCGCAAGGGTGCGAGGCGCGGTCGTTGCCAAGTTCTCTGGGGTTCCTTGGTCTTGTTGCTTACAGGCGCTTTCTCGGGGCTTCAGCGGTCTTGCTTCCTGATGAAGACGTTGCCCAGGTTCCGTGGTCATGGTGTATTGGTTCCTCTGTCTTGGTTCCTTCGTTCTGTGGTCTTGAACCCTTGGCTCCCTGGTCTTGGTTCTTGATTTTCTGGTCTTGCTTCCTTGGTCCTTTGGTCCTGGTTCCTTGGTCTTGGTTCCTTACTTCCTTGGTCTTAGTTCCTTGGTTTCTGAGTCTTGGTCCACTGCGGCCTCGCTTCGCAATGCCAAGCAACGCCAAACAATGCCAAGCAAGGCCACGCAATGCCACGCACGCAATGCCAAGCAATGCCACGCAATGCCATGCAACAAAAATCGATGCCAAGCAACGCCAAGCAACGCCAAGCAATGCCATGCTATGCCAAGCAACGCGAGGCAACACGCCCATGCGTTAGAAAGGATGTCCTCTAATTGGGGCGGCGGCTTCATTCACAAAACCGACCGACGCACTATTGACTCAACCACATGATACCGAAGACTGCCAGGCAAGCCAGGAAACGATATGACCTGATGCTGCCTGGATCGCATGAATATGGTACTGCCGCGTATAACGTTAGACTCGCAGTGGTGTCGGATGGCAACCGCGGATGCTAGTCACACTTCGATTGGGAAGTCGCGCCTGTGCCTTCCTCATTATCCCTGCATCCTGTTTCAGCTCGTCCTTCTGCTGCTTCTCCTGCGCCTCCTTGCCCCCTCAGCTAGAACAGCCCGAAACAATTCTATGCACAAAGCAGGGGTGCCGGGAAGTGGCGGAGGGCGAGCGAGGGAGTCGAAGTCCCAGAAGGGGGGAGGGAAGCGGCAGCAAGAGGAGCAAACGGTGGAATGCGGAGATGGGAACGGGAGAGCTGTGGCGGAGGAGGAGGAAACTAACGCTCCAGCTTCGGCGCTCTAGTCCGCCCAACGCTAAAAAAGGGAGGAGGAGGAGGAGGAGGAGGAGGAGGAGGAGGATCAGCAGAAAGAGAGGAGAAGACCCAGGAGAAAAGAGACGAAAGGGAAGAGGAAGAGGGGAGGAGCAAGGCGGAAGGCGGGCACACCAGAGGGGGAGAAGGGAGGAGCCAAAAGGGCAGAGGCGAGGCCATGTGAGCGAGGGGCGGCCAGGGGTGGGGAAGCACTGGGCGCAGAAGAGACACGACAAGAAGCCCAGGATGGGAAGCTGGGGTGGAGAAAAGCCAAATGGGGTGCTATGCCTTGCCCACGACCACCGAAGATCGAGGAAACAGGATTTCGACATTGTTGGCCCTGCTGGGGGGGAGGTCCTAGAGGCCTCCAAATGCCCCTGGGGACATTCGCAGACGTCCAGTGGTCAGGATCTGGGGCGGCACTTCAGTTTACTACAAGGGAAGAGACAGGAGCAGAACAGGATGGAGATGGCTGGAGGGAGCTAGAGGATGGACGAGCCATGAAAAATAGGCAGAGGAGCCTGTATGTCAGCGCCCGAATCTCGTCGGATGGGGTTGATCTCGACGCCGTGCACTTCTCTCCCAGAATGCATGCATCACCTCTTCCTCCAAATCCTGTCCCTCCTCCCCCGCCTCCTCCTCCCCCCATCCAGCCGATCTCGACGCTCTGCCCACCCCACCCCACCTCAAAAAGGAAAGAGATTCTGCAGCCCCCGCTCCTCCGACCCGGATCCTGTCTTGAAATACACATGTTTACACAGATGTACCAAATCACAAACATGAACAAATAGATATGAATATACATCTACGTATACGTCTACACATACACATACAAACACAAACACGCATCTACATAAAAATGCACATGATTGTATACAAATGTGCACATACAGATGCATAAACATCTGCAATGGCTATGCATTCAATGATTCGCATGTACACACATATATACACACATAAACATATATATATATATATATGTAGATCGGCATATGTACACATATATACAAACACAAATGCAGTGTCATATACACGTGCAAAACTTAAACATAAACAATTACCATACACATACATATGTACATATGCATACACATACACATGTACAAATACATAGGCACCGACATACACATATACATATATATATATATATGCGCATCTACATATACATATACATATACATATACAAATACAAATGCAAATGCATATACACAAATAGATGCACATACATATACATATACATATACATATACAAATACAAATACAAATACATATACATATACATATACATATACATATACATATACATATACATATACATATACATATACATATACATATACGTACATGTTTACATATACATGGACATGAACATATACATATACATATACACATACATATACATATACAATTACATATACATATACATATATCTTCTCCTAGGTTTTGGAACTCCCCCGACCCCCTGAATACCGCGGAGTGGCGACAGCCTCGGAAGACGATGTAGCGGGATGCCTGTCTTTGTGCTGTTTGTTTTACCACGGGCGCTCGAATCAGAACGTTTTGCACCTGGTCGCATTTCTGGGCCCTCGCCCTCCAAGAAATCGAACAGACAGGCGAGCCGGTTGCAATACACAAGAGCGCTCTGCTATACAAAGGGAGTGGCGGGCGGGCCACACAGATACGGAACAAAGAGGGGATCGCACAGTTCTATCAAACTTCAGAAGAAACACGTGCTGGCACTGATTATCCTCCTTGGTTTTGGAACTCCCCCGACCCCCTGAATACCGCGGAGTGGCGACAGCCTCAGAAGACGACGTAGCGGGATGCCTGTCTTTGTGCTGTTTTTACCACGGGCGCTCGAATCAGAACGTTTTGCACTTGGTCGCATTTCTGGGCCCTCACCCTCCAAGAAATCGAACAGACAGGCGAGCCGGTTGCAATACACAAGAGCATAATGCAATCTGGTACTCTGGGTTCGGGTGGGAGGGCCATACCAGCAACTTAGATATATTCTCGGTGAACAACGAGGCGTTGCTAGCATCCACTGCTGCCGACCTTCGGGAACACAACCGCCAGGGATAGGGTTCCGCGATTCTGGTCCCAAAAATCCCCCTCCTCATTTTGGCCTTCCAGGGTTTGATGGGTTCGGTGAGTGCGGCAGCATATTCCATTACATGATGTGCACTGGCGGACCACACGAGACAAGTCGATATGCGTGGTCATCAAGCGTGTTCTTTTCCTCCAAGGCTTACCACCCATGCTAAAGTCTGCGCAATCAGACCGCACATCCTTGCGCGCGGCCAGCTTCACAAATTGAGGGAGGTACCACAAGATAGAAGCGCGCGGATTCTCCAACGAGCATGGGACACGTCGGAGGCGACAGCGCTCAAAAGTACGAGCTGAGAAGTCGGCTAACTGGTTGCCAACCTTCACCTTGTCGCTGTCGGCTGCTGATAGAAGCCCGTCAAGCCCTCGAGGATGGTCTGAACTGCGCAGAGCGCCTGGGCCATCACCACGGCCCCGGGCGCGAGAGAAAGTACAACACGGCATACCGAGATGCACAGCCCAAATCACCCCTGAGTTGAGGAGCTGGAAAAACAACTTGACGAGATGTGGATTCGTGACGTCACTTTGGGGCCCGTGAATCACATCAACTTCAATCACTACGTATCCTCGCTTGCGCATTGCTGAAGACCATTTGCCTGAGCCCGAGAGGTAGACGACGCTGTCCAGCACTCACGGCAGTTCTAAGGGATTCGAACGC